TGAAGGTGAGAATAGCATCTAGTGTGCCAGGTACAGGAGGATTGTTCAGAAGTACTGAGCATAATGTCTGTTATAAGTTGTTACTTGCTCGAGGGGTCATGAACCATAGGACTGTGGATTTCGACTACCTAGAAAAGGCTGGTATTTCAGTAGAGCACTTGTTTGCAAAATTGGGCATTCTTGAATTTTGTTTACAATCTGCAAATGTCTATGCTGAACTCACTGCATACTTTTACTCTAATCTTTCCATTTTGTCACCCAACTAGATTCAATTCACTGTTGGTGACAAAAAGTTTGATTTAAAAGCGAAGGAGTTGGCATTGATTATTGGAGTAAAACATTTCAATTTCTCTCCACTGGATGTGAGCATAGAAGATGCTTCCAAGGTGGTCTCTGAAAATCCAAACTTTGCTCAAGGATCCAAGCGCCATCTTTCCTACTCTGACTTGTCCAGACGGTCTGTGATCTTGCATAAGATCATAATCAACTGTTTGAAGCCCAAGGCAGTCTCAAAAACTGACCTGTCAAAATCAGAAATCAAGCTCATTTGGGCTATCTTGAAAGGTCACTCCTTCTCTCTCCCTCATATCATTATCTTCCATATGTATAGAGCATTTCAGAATGACAAGGGCCAGTTACCATATGGTACTCTAATCTCTCGCATCTTCATGTTCTTAAAAATATCTATTCCTGATGATATGCGCAAGAACGTTGTTCCCTGTATGTATATTGGAGAAAGAATGCTCTCCAAAATGAAGCATTTTGAAGATGTAAAGGAAAGAGTAAGAGGAAAAGAGGCTCAACAGTCGGAGGCAAAATCTATTGGAAAGAAAATTGAGAAAGAAAAAGGGCAAAGGAAAAGATCTAGTCCAGCCAGCAAGCAAACTGACTCTCCTACTCCAATCAAAGTGTACAGAAAGAAAAGAAAAATTCTTCTGCATGATGAAAGTGATGAAGCAGAAGCAGAGCACTTTGAAACAGGACACACTGAAGAACCAGAACATGTTCCTGAACCAGTTCCCATAGTTTCAGAACCAATTCATAAAGCACATGTTTCTGAAGATCAAGCACCTGTTCAGGGGGAGAATCAACCAGAATCAGCCACAGGGTATGATTAGTCTGAGCCAGCAAATGTCCAAGCACAGCCTTCTGACAATCAGAACATCCTCTCTATTCTGCTCGAGATCAAAGAAAAGCAAGCTGTACTAGAACAAGATATGAAGAATCTACAGAGAATTGTTGAGGAAAACAGCAAGACTCAACGACTTCAAGCAGCAACAGATAAAGCAGAACTTGGGGAAACCATTGCTATGTGCTCATCCAACATGAATAAAGCTATAGGTCAATGCAGTTCGAAAATTGAGGAGGCTATCTCAATATTGGAAAATTTTCAACTGATTCGTACCCCTTCTAAAAAATAGTCTGTTTTTTAACATTTCTCTCCAAATCATCTATTTTTCCATTGATCTGTAATATTTCTAACAATTCTTGTTAGACTGTTTGATTGCTTAATATCAATGATTTATTCTCTCTATCATTATTATTTTTGCTGATGACAAAAAGGGGGAGAAATTATATGCAGATTTGCAGGTTATATACAAAGGAAGAAAAAGACACAGATATCAACAGAGTTTGCTCTTTCAATCTGTGCTTCATGAGCTTAATATGTTTATTTACTTTCAAATCAATTTCAAATTAATTCAATCTGCAGGAAAGTTTTGTCACCATAAAAAAGGGGGAGATTGTTGAGAAAAACTCCTATTGATTTTGAAGTTGACAAAACCTTCCATGTTATTGTAAATCTGATACTTATTCTGAACTAATTTATTCCAGGTATGTATATTCTGGAAGCTCAGAAGGAAGTTTTTCAGACTTTACAAGCTGGTAAATACATTATTGAAGACCCACATAATCTAAGTTCTGAGACTCAGACGCTGAAATTATTCAGACGAAGACGGAGGAATTTTCAGAAGCAGATGCAGAAGCTGAAATTTTTCAGAAGCAGACGCAGACACAGAAATTCTTCAGATGCATAATTCAGAACGAAACATAACAGCTAGTGATTTGGTATGGATTTTACAGAAGGAAAGCTTTGATCTCAATCAAATTGATTGACAATCAAAGATTACGACAAGCATGCATTACAACGGATAAAGCTCTACTTATGGAAACCAAGATTTTGATTGTATGGGCGACCAGAATCAGCGGGATTCAGAATCTGTCATCCAACGGCTACTCAATCCTTTCTATACAAATCTGTCCAACGTGAAGATTGGAAGATGATCCTCTGAAAACTGTCCAACGGCTAGTTTGGAAGTGGAGGAGTATTTAAGGAGATCAACGAGCAGCAGAAGGAAGAACAGAATCAAGAATCATCAAGTCCAAAGTCTGAGGATACTCCGATCATTTGTCTTGTCTTTCTAAGCCAAACATTAAGATCTTGAGGGACACTTTGTAAGAGTGATTGTGTAAGATAGAGAGTCCTATCATACACAAGAGTGCTAACACTCAGAAGTTGTAATTCGTCTTGATTACATAGTGAAATCCAAACAGAGGTGTCGGCGTGGGAGAGTGGACGTAGGCTTGCTATAAGCCGAACCACTATAAACTTGTGTTCTGATTCTCTATCCCTCATCTCTTACTTTACATTCTGCACATCAAGAGCACAGTCTATACAATCTGTCTTGAATCTGAATTTTATTCAGACTCTTCTGTGATTTGTTTTGTTTCCGCATAAATTATCAAAAATTGTTTAAGATCACCTATTCACCCCCCTCTAGGTGATCCTTGCTAGCTACATCACATTCTAGTGATTGTGTCTGTTCACGGGACACATTGTTTTGTTGTTCTTATACAAAGATATTTCTTCATTCATAAAAGCTATTCCAATTTTCAAATATTTATGTTGAGTGGATTTGAGAGATTAAGTTGTATCCTATCGTTTTAGGAAAATAATTTCATAGCTGAACAATTCTGCTTTCTATACTTTTTTTCTTGGGGGGTTTCTCCCTCCAATCTCCAATATAGTAGCTTCTACATTATCCTGTTAATATTAGGTGAGAAATCTAAAATGAAAATCAACGAGAACACTAGAAGTAAAAATCACAATGATGAATGAAAAGAGCCTTATGTTGCAAGAGCTGTCAATCTCTCGATCTTTGCATATCCAAAAATCAGTTTGTGATTTCTTCCCACCGTCGCAAGTTCGGCCTAGCCCTTTGCTTCCAGCACATATAGATTTAATGACAAATTCTCAATGAGGTCATTACTAAATTAATCTTTTTTAGATTACAAATTAAGATGGCGCATAAAAAAATTACTAGATGACAATAACAACATCTTGGTCTGTTCAAAAGGAATTATACAGATATGACCTGTCTTTTACCAAGTTCGCCTGTCGTGGTCAAATGGCAAAACAAAACCTATAAATACCCATGAGTTATGTGGATCAACCTAAAACTACACCATCTTTAGTTCTCGACATTACACTTATAGCATCTTCTTGGTTTTTTCATTTTTATTAGAATATAAGCTATGAGTTCATTAGAAATCCTAAAATTTATCACGAAAGTACAATTGAGTTCTAAAATTTTTAAAAAATCCAATTAAGTCCTAAAATCTGTCACAAAAGTGCAATTAAGTACTAAAACTTTTAAAAAGTAAAATTAAGCCTTAAAATTTATCAAATTTATCCAATCAAGTCCTTCTGTTGACTGCACTTTTTAAGAGTTTTAGAATTCAATTGCACTTTTATGACAAGTTTTAAAACTTGATTACATTTTTTTAAAATTTTAGGACTTAAGTTCATTTTTATAACAAGTTTTATGACTTTTAATGCACTTATCACTTATTTAAATGTGCAAGTTCAATCTCTCTCACAAGTAGTATCACTCTCTCTCTCTCTCTCTCTCTCTCTCTCTCTCTCTCTCTCTCTCTCTCTCTCTCTCTCTCTCTCTCTAATTATCCATCAATAACATATTTTTGTATGTCCGCAAACCTTGACGAGACACAACACAATTCATTATAGTGCGTCATACGAGCATATGATTTCATCATTCTTGTGGGTAATTGGTGTAAGAAGATTTTATTGAATAAGAGTTATTTCTAATCCACGACCTCTCCTTCAATCTCGACTGATGAAATCATGTTCGTTTCACCATCGCCATCAAGCATGTAAACCCGCATGTGTGAGTTTCCTCCCTTCTGGGTGAAGTGAAGTGGTTAAGCCTAAATATTATTTTCTTCGAGTGCTCCTTCATATCGATACAACACTACGCAATATGTTGAAAGGATGCGGGAATTGGGCATGAGACCGGGGGCAAGCCCCTTACATCATTCACTTTCCTCGCAATAGTATCCATAAAATAAGGTTGCGATAGATGAAGGCACGGGTTTATCCATGTTCTCTCCGGACCTCTCCTCGCCACTTTTGCGGTTCTCGTGGCTGCAGGTGCCCGACTCGAGCGAAGATGGAGTTGCACGTCGGCACTATTGATATCACCTCCCTTGAAATTTCCTACATGAGATGTCAATGGCGTGGTCAAAATTGAACTCTAAGTACCGTCCACTGTTTTTGTTCTTCTAATCACGTGGCAGGTAAAATTCTAAACATGGAAAGTACAAGTTAATGAGAGCTTTTCTCAACCCAAGAAAGCAAAGAGAAAAATGTCATTATCATTATTATAAATGATATAACGCAACATATTATTATTTATTAATATTAGATTCTCCGGCCAGGAAGCATAGACTGATTGCTCTATGTGAACTGGAACCGACCGCCCGCCGACTTCGTAGCCGGTGATGAAATGTTGAACGGTCAACGTAAGAACCACGTTGGGCAAAGAGAACGAAGATAAAGAGACGTTAGAGCCACATGTTCGATTCTTTAACGTCTTTAACACACTTTTTCCTTGAAGAAAAAGGAGGTTAAAGAAGCCAAATTGCAATTCGACCTTCCTAACTGCGATGACTTGGACCAAAAAGTCATATGAAAATCAAAGCTTGGCATGCTCAAACTGAATTACGCCGAATCTTCCCAGTTTTTGCTGCAATGTTCAAATGGCAACAACAAGCTATAAATACCAATGAGCTATATAGATCAGCCTCAGATCACACCATCTTCAAATTTTCACCATCATATTCTTAGTATCAACCTTTGCTGTTCATTCTTACCAGAACGTAAAGCTACGCACGAGATGGCCGTGAACCTCTTCACTCCATGCCAGATGGGAAAGTTCGATCTCTCTCACAGGGTAGTGCTAGCGCCTCTGACGAGATGCAGAGCGCTAAATGAGATTCCAATGCCAGCGCATGCTGAGTACTATGCGCAAAGATCGACCAAGGGTGGTTTTCTCATCACTGAGGGCACCCTCATCTCCGACACGGCCGCTGGGTATGTCCTCTTGTCCCAAGATCAAGCTGTCTACTGTATATATATAGCGCAAAAAGGAATTAAAATTGTGTACATACCGTTGTACATCTGAGCACTGCAAACTATTTATACCCTATTCATTGCTTGACAGCAAGTAATATGAACCATGTTTTGGATCATAGGAAAATCATTAACTTTGAAAAATATAATGTTGTTAAACCAGGTTTCCAGATACTCCTGGGATTTACACTGAACAGCAAGTCGAAGCTTGGAAGAATGTGGTGGATGCTGTTCATTCCAAAGGCAGCATCATTTTCTGTCAACTTTGGCACGTTGGTCGTGCCACCAATAATGGTACTAATTTTTTTTTTCTCAGATTGACGCCACCAAATATTCTCTATAGCTCCTAAACAACAAAATCACAACTTGAACAAACTAGATTTGACAATTTTTTTTTTCTGTTATACTGCATTCTTAATTATGTAATGTTAGCTTATTAAGTTTCACCTTCAATACTTGTTTCTGACAATATTGAAATATTATGGTGATTGTATTAGTTTATCAGCCTGGTGGAGGCGCGCCAATTTCATCGACAAATCAATCTATCTCTGATAAATGGAGAATCATCATGCCCGACAGGACTCTCGATGTTCCTCACAAACCAAGAGCCCTCCAAACACATGAAGTATGGGATGTTATCGAGCAATATCGCCGAGCAGCTGAAAATGCCATTCGAGCAGGTTCGTCCATGAACTATGATCATTCCAAGATGGATGCTAAAATTAGTTTTACTTACTTTCTTTGTTGCGCATAAGTATTAAGATCAAATCAATTTCGACTTCAGGTTTCGATGGTGTTGAGGTCCATGGAGCACATGGCTACCTCATTGATCAATTCTTAAAGGACTCGATCAATGATAGAACAGACAAATTTGGAGGATCAATTGAGAATAGATGCAGATTCTTGATGGAGATCGTCAAAGTGGTGGCTGGAGAAGTTGGTGCTGACCGAATGGGAGTTAGAATCTCGCCGGCAATCGACCACATGGATGCCACGGACTCCGATCCACTCAATCTAGGCCTAGCAGTCATCGAGAAACTGAACAAGTTTCAGAACGAGATAGGCTCCAAACTTGCCTATCTCCATGTGACTCAACCTCGATTCATGGCCCATGGCACGAAAAATTACGGTGAAGAAGAGGAGGACGAAGAAGCTCGATTGATGAGAACTTGGAGGAGAGCTTATCAAGGTACTTTCATGTCGAGTGGTGGTTTCACGCGAGAGCTCGGGATGAAGGCTTTGGCTGATGGAGATGCAGACTTGATATCGTATGGTCGGCTCTTCATCTCTAACCCCGATTTGGTCCACCGATTAAAGGTGGATGCACCATTGAATGGTTACAACAGAGAGACATTTTATACTCAAGATCCAGTTGTTGGTTACATAGATTACCCATTTCTTGACCAGGAAAATGGGGAAGGGACACACTAGTAAATGAAAATGCTATTGGTGACTTGTATTCCTGGGAACTTTGGATTACACTGTACAATTTAAGCACTAAGGAGGATTGAAGAAATAAGACAACATACCACCCGCCTGGGTGGCGCTGCTAGAGCGCGCACTCTTCCTCTCGCAAAAGGTTGAGTGTTCGAATCCCGGGTGCCGCAGGGTGACTTAACCGGTGCACGTGTGTGGTGGCTAGCACGTGTCGCCCCCAGGGTTTATCTCCCGGCTGTCGGCCGTGCGGGGGTTCCCTGGGTCATCAAAAAAAAAAAAAGAAATAAGACAACATGTTCATTGCGTATACTTTATGTCCGTGGTAATAGGGTACATGATTTGTACATTATCGAATCAATTTCATAGAGTCTGATGAACAATTATATTTCCTTCCTGTTCAACAAATTATAATCCTCTCTTGTATTGTTCGTGTTCGTATATTTTAATATATTATTAAAACTTCGTAGAATAATATAATCAATTATGGTAGAAACCGATGTTCATATGCTTCTTCTTTTTTGCCGGGAAGAAGCTGACACCCGTCTGGGTTGTTGGAGAGTTTATAGCGTGAATGTGGAAAAATGGAAGGAAACTATTTAGTTGAAATATGAGAGCACCATGTAAGTGTTGTTTGAAGGAATGGGCTCTCAAGTGAACATTTGACATTGGATAGGCCTGATTATGTTTAATCTTGGTTGGACAATTGAAAAGTTGCGATTAAACAAATTTGAAACTTCCTTTTAATAAATGTTAACTTTTTAGACAAATATGTAAGTTGGTAGACTAACTATTTAGTCCAATCCAATGGTTGAGTTCGCACGAGACACATTGTTTCATTGTTCGATTTTAAATATTTCTCGTCTGTTTATGTCGAGAGAGTTTAAGAGGCTAACTGGTATCCCGGGGGCATTGTCGCCTTAGAATAAAGAATCCGCCTCACAGCCGATCAATTCTGTTTTTGGTAGTACTCTTCTTTCGGGGTTCTCTCTCCAGTCTCCACACATGATTTTGAAAGTTTGATTTCTTCTACGAATGTTAGCTTCACTGCAAGATGAATGATTTCCATGAGTTTCCTTTTGAAGTTTGCTATTCGGGCTTAATAAATATTAGGAATTTGTGCCTCTTCTATTGCGACTTTTAGGGTTAGCTGCCATAGTCCTTAGTAGGGGTCGACGATTCCAGGGTTGGGCCGATTCCACCCTGGACCTTGGAACAAACTGTAAAGGGTCGGTCCCCAGATTTTGAAACCTAAAACCGACTCTATAGACCATAGAATTGACCTTGCCTGTCCTGTCTGGTCTGGCTCCAGAATCAGTCCAGGGAACAGGCCAAATTTTTTTTTTTATGGTTTCATTATTTTGCATTCTTTGAAATGTCAAACTTATTCTTTCAAAGTACATGTCCATCAATACACAATATTTAGAACTGCAATACTGAGCAACAAAACGGTGTGAAGTAAAACATCGGTAAAAAAAAACAAAAATCTAAAGTAACAAGCAATTATCCAATTCATCCCTTAGTCAAGCAAAACGAAAGCTAAATCAATAACATAAATCTTCACTTGCCAAAGGCATATAAGGTAAAACATAAATTATAAAACTTCATTCTCCATTCATCCATAAAAGATTGCTTTAAATTCTAACCACCTAAAAACAAAACAAATAACAAACATAATAAAAATGTGTTTGGATAGTACAACGCCGATTAAAATGCTATTCCACTAACTTATTTTGTATTACCAAAAAAACTTATACTTGTGTGACATATAAACTCTTTATTTCAGTTCCATCATAAGTTAGGGATTTTTTTTTACACAAAAAAAGTTTGGGTATTTGCGTCACGATGGGCAAGTTTAGGGTTTTTAGTGTCACAAAAAAAAAGTTCGGAGTGTTTTTGTCATAGTGGGTATAATTTGTAGTTTTTTGTGGTATTAACCCATTAAAAAAAAGACATCCTACGGATAAATCTTCATTAGAAAATCTAGAGATGAACTACAAAGAAAAATGGCGGCACTTAAGCCCTGGCTTGTATTCACGTCCCTCTCCCTCCTCCTTAAACAACATTATATCGCTTCTTTCTTGCCCTTTTTCCCTTTTATGTCATGCCCTAATGGAACACCGTCAAAAGGATGTAATCGAGAGTCACCTCCGAATGTCAGGATCCAGACGAACTCGGAGAAAAAAACAATGGAAGGAAAAAAAAAATTCACGAGAAGGTGTCGCAGGAAAATTTCAGAGCAATTCCACAGAGAGAGAGAGAGAGAGAGAGAGAGAGAGAGAGAGGTGTGGGGCGATTCTTCATCGAATTTTGTAAAAATAAGACAAAAAATTGGACGAGAACTTGAGATCGCGCGCATACAGAGAACAGAGACAACCGGGCACCACAGAACTACGGAGATTTCGATAAATCCGCAGAGCTTTCGACCAAAACAAAAACCTAGGGTTATTGGAGAGAGGAAGCACTCACGGATTCACAATGCCGTCGACCAAGATCTCGTTGCTCTGCAATTTCGATAAACCCCCGAAGCTTCAGCGGAGAAAGAGAGACAGAGCACAGAGAGAATGTAGGTCTCTGTTCTCGCTGCTCTCCAATTCAAAACAGAGAGAGGCAGAGAGAAGAGAGAGAAGCGACAGTTCTGTTTCTTGCGTAGCTGGTATTTAGAACTTGGGATAAGTGTATTAGAAGTCCCAAAACTTATCAGAAAAGTGTAATTGAGTTCTAAAACTTTCAAAAAATGCGATCAAGTCCTAAAACTTATCACGAAAGTGCAATCAAGTCTTAAAACTTTCAAAAAGTGCAATCAAGTCCTAAAACTTATCACAAAAGTGCAATCAAGTCCTAAAACTTTCAAAAAGTGCAATCAATGGAAGGACTTGATTGAACCAATTTGACAAGTTTTAGGACTTATTTGCACTTTCGTGACAAGTTTTAAGACTTGTTTTAGGACTCAATTGCATTTTTCTAACAAGTTTTAGGATTTAATTGCATATTATGAAAGTTTTAGGACTCAATTATACTTTCGTGATAAGTTTTTGGACTTTGAACGAACTTATCCCTTAGAACTTTGAATTCCTCTAGCCGGTAGTAGGTGGCACCCTCGTGGGCTCAGTCTCCATTGGTTGTTTAGTTCTTGAGCTCCATGTTTTCTATTTGCTTTTTCCCAACCTTTTAGTGGTTTTCAACTTAAAACAACATATATGTGTTGTGCAGCTCCAAAGGAGTTAAGGAGAATGTCCATGTTTACTGCATAAGTTATGATTTACTAGTCTAATGTCCACGGGTTGCGTAGCTAATTATAAATATTAGCTTTTCATGTATTAAATAATGGTTCGAATTTTTTAAATTAACCGATAAAACCGACAAGTCAGTTTAAGTTGTAGGCATAAAAAGATGGTTTTAGAACAAAAAATTGAATTTCCATTGCTTAATACCCTTTTATACATCTTCATTCATTCCCTTTTGGTTTGCTGTGTAAAGCTCGTTACATATTTCTGATGATTGACTTGATTATTCCACATTGTACAAAGGAAAGAGAACCGTGAATCATATTTGAAAAAAGAAGCAGCACTCTATATTCAATTCGGTTAAAATTGGAATTGGGATAAGTTTACGTAGCTTGAGCTTTTGCTTTTAGTATAAAAGAATGGCTAAAAGAGAACTAAGGTAAGATCCTTCCAAGACGAGGAAAATGTCGCTTTTAACACCCACAATTGTTTTTAACACAAATGGCTAATTACTATTTTGTTAATAGATAATCTTTCTACAATGCTAAACAATAAGTGCATACCTGTCTCAAAAGCATATACTTGTAATGGCACGGGCCTTCAGGGAAAATAAAATTATCATTAGTCCGTAATCTTGCTACAATGCGTGTGCTATAAAGAGCCGCTCCAAGAGGAGTCGGCTGCACGGACGTGAACACAGTGAATGATGTGCTGTGAGCATTACCTGCATTTTTTTTTGGGGTCTGTTTACTTGAAATTTAAATTGTTTGTTTATAAACACTTTGGATTTTGGCTTAATTTAAATGTGAAAAACACTTGTAGATTATTTACTGCTGGATCTTCCGTGGATGTAGGTACTGATAGTCGGATCAAACCATATCAAATTTTGGTGTCTTTTATTATTCCTTATTTATTTCGTCGATGCTTTTGCATTAACTTAATTTTCAAGATCATGGTTAACTTCCGCTTTTATTTTACAACAATTAGTATCAAAACTCGATGATATGATTTTCTGAATTTTGATTTGGGGCTTTTGCTTATTTGATTATTATTAAGAAATTCTGTTGTTGCTGTTTTTTCTTTTTGTTTTGTTTGTTTTTTTTGGGCTGGCGCTCGGCCCTGGGGGGGGTGGTGGTGGTACCTTGACTAGGCTAAGGGGTGACTAATGGAAATGTTAGGGAATTTAACGGGCTGTGGATAGTGGTTTGTGGGTGGTGGGTGGTGGGGTATAGGTGGATTTTGTATTTTTACTGTGACTTGTCTATAAAATAGATGTGCTATTAACAACTCATGGTTTGCCTGACGATAGAGTAAGTTGCTTGAAATAATGAATGATTATGAAAATGACGTACTAATGAGGAATGCAATGATTATAATTCAGTTAAACCTGCTCAAATATTCTACAATCTATATATTTCTTGTGGGCCCAAGGAGAATTGAGAGAAAAGAAAAGACAAAGGAAACCAAAAGAAATAGCGGGGTTTCTTTTTCTTTGAGCCTAGGTCATCCTTCTTTGTCCCTTTGTGTGGCCGCCAATGAAGGAAAGAAAACTTAAAGTAGCCGCACGAAGAACAAGAACAAAAGAGTAGGGAGGCGTGTGTTCTCAAAATAAAGAGCAGCTTGAAGAGGAGAGAAAGAACGTACAACGTTCATGTTTCTTCGGCCGCACGAATGTGAACACGGTGGATAATGTGTCGTGAGTTTTACTTTCATTTGAGTTATTTATTTGATTATTATTAAGAAGAAATTCTGTCTGTTGTAATTATGTCTGGAGCGAAAGTAGAAATTGAGAAATTTAACGGAAGAATAATTTTGAGTTATGAAGCTATAAAATAGATGTGCTATTAACAACTCATGGTTTGCCTGACGATAGAGTAAGTTGCTTGAAATAATGAATGATTATGAAAATGACGTACTAATGAGGAATGCAATGATTATAATTCCGTTAAACCTGCTCAAATATTCTACAATCTATATATTTCTTGTGGCCCAAGGAGAATTGAGAGAAAAGAAAAGACAAAGGAAACCAAAAGAAATAGAGGGTTTCTTTTCTTTGAGCCTAGGCCATCCTTCTTTGTCCTTTGTGTGGCCGCCAATGAAGGAAAGAAAACTTAAAGTAAGCCGCACGAAGAACAAGAACAAAAGAGCAGGAGGCGTGTGTTCTCAAAATAAAGAGCAGCTTGAAGAGGAGAGAAAGAACGTACAACGTCTATGTTTTTTCGGCCGCACGAATGTGAACACGGTGGATAATGTGTCGTGAGTTTTACTTTCATTTGAGTTATTTATTTGAAAATACTTTGAGTTTGGGCTTAATTTAGGTGTGAGAAACATTCAAGCGTGTGAGCGATTATAACTTTGATTCTCCGATTATTAATAAATTATTTGCTGTTGGCTCTTTCCATAAATGTAGATATCGATATTCGGATCAAATTACGTAAATCTTTGGTGTCTTTTGTTGTTCGTCGTTCATTTCTTCGATGCTTTCGTATTGACTTAATTTGCAAGATCCTGATTAGCGTCCACATTTTTTTTACAACAAATACAATTCTGTTGAACAATCTGGGGAATTGTGCCTTGCCGCCTGAGACGATCCTAAGATCCATCATAATACCTACAGGGCCAATTCGCACTTCTCGTGCCTCTTACATTACATCACTCGGACACCAACTTTTGCATAAAAAATGAACCTCGAAAGATGGAGTAAAATTGGGTTAACGACACGATAACGAGAAGATCCAAGAGGGAACCCATAATTGTCGTATACTTTTACATATACCGCAATGTCATGTTCTACACAAGTAGAACATAAGCCAATGCCTCTCGAGCCGGCTGAAGATGGCCCCGAGTTGGAATCTTTCACTGAGAATAGAATATGAAGGCAAACATCAATTTTCAGTTAGTTAACGCACATGGCAGAGACAAGATTTAGATTAAAACTCCATTTGTATAGCAGGAAACGTGACATCTCTGAAAAATATTTTCCAGGAAATCATTTTCCAATATCAATATTTCTAGTATTTGACTGATATCTAAAAATGAACCGAAAAATATTTTCCGTCATTTGGTGAGGAAAATCATTGATTTTCTTAAATAGACATACATCATTTAGGAGCTAGTGACTTGCGCATAGGTAGTCGGTGTTGACACCTATTTTTTGCCTATCCGTTTTAGGTTAATTACATATAAAATTAGCGGTTAATTTATTAACCCCTAAGCAAAAATAATTCTCATTAAGTTGCGTGGCATATAGACATTAGGTGCATTTGCATTAATTAGGTCTATTAGACATATTTTTCTTGTTAAAAAAATAAAAAAATAAAAAAAAATCCGGGTCGGTCAGACCCGGTTCAAGTGGACCGGATCAGTCCGGCCCGGTCATATTCCCATTTTATCTTTCTCCACGGGCCTGCCCAGTCCCCTTTTCCCTTCGGCCCGGCCCGCGCTTACCAGTCCCTTTCCTCCTTTATCGTTCCTCTGCTAAGGAGCAGAGGAGGGAGGCTGGCAGAGAAGGTCGGCGCACAGCAGGGAGGTCGTGCAGAGCAGAGAGGCAGCCGTGGTCCCCAAAGACAGGACGTTATCCTCTTCTCTCACAGCGTTAAAAGGGAGGAAGCCGAGCTGCAAATTTGGGGGGGAGTTTAGGGGGCTGAACAGAAGAGGAACGGCAAGTGATCGGAGAGAAAAACAGAGAGAAAATGGAGGATTGAGGGGTTTTAGAGGAGAGTGTTCCGGCCTCTCAATCGACGAGGAGAAGGCCGGGCGAACCTCTTCCCCCTCTCCGCCGTGCGTTTGAGTCCGGACCGACTGAGGGAGCTTGAACAAGAAACATAGAGTTTTGGGGGGCTGGAAAAGGGGGAACAGAGGGCGAATCCGAAAGGAGAAAGCTTGATTCGTTCGCCGGTCGACCACCCCAGTCGTCGTCAGTCCCGTCGAGCCTCCGGTCACCGCTCTTCAGCCCGGTCGTTCACGAAACAGGTGAGTCACGGTCGCACATTTTGCTCTGTTTTCGCCCCCCCTGTCCTTGCCTCTCGGGTGCCGGACACACCGAGCCTGTTCGGTGGTCGCCCGGCCCCTGTCGATGGATGCTCGTGCTCGTTTGACACTCAAATAAGCTGTTTTAAATGTTTCACGCCGAGGGAAGGCCCTGAGCTTTGCTAAACTCAAGCTTGTTTCTACATTTTTCAAACGCCCCTCACATGTTCGACGAAATGCCAAAATGGGGGTCCGAATGATTTTTTGTGGAACCAGCGACTTGAACTCGGTTTTTTATGTCTGTTTAGTACTCATATTCATCGAATCAGCACTGAATTTTTCCTTGTTCGTGCATTCACGTCACGGTTTGCGTATTGTCCGAGTCGGCCTCGCGTATGCATCCCCTGGCCGGAGACGTTCCCCGCCACCAACGAAGCAACGGTTTGAGGCCGCAATACTGAGCTATTTATTTACATTCTGTGCTTTTCTGTGCTTGATTTGGTTGGGTTAGGTGTCTGTGGAAGGGGTCGGAAGTTGGTTGGACGGAGGTTGAGTTTTGGGTCGCCGACGGGGAGGTGTGGTTCTTCTTTAAGTCGCCGGCGTGGTTGCCAGAGCGTCGGCCGGAGGTGACGGGGTAGGCCAGCGTCCGCCGTCGGCGCTGGTGGCCCGAGCCGGCGGCCGGCGGTGAGTGGTCACGGCGTGGTCTGGTCTCTGCTGAAGAAGAAGAAGACTCGGTGAAGAACAGTAGGAAGCAGGGGAGAAGTTCTGGGCAGAAGGCACGAAGGGGGAAGGAAGACCAGAAAAAATAAAGAGAAAAAGGAAAAAGAAACAATAGAAAAAAAAAGGAAAAAAAGAAAAGAGGGATAATAAAAAAATCAGAAAAGAAATTAGAAAAAAGGGGATCCCGGGCCGGTCGGAAATCGGGGCAGGTGTCGGGCGAATCGGGTCAGGGGACCCGGTCCGGAATTTTTATATTAAAATATTTAAAAATATTAATAAAAAATATTAATAATAATTAAAAATTTCAGAAAAATTCCAAAAAAATCCAGAAAATTAGGAAGTGTTTAGAAATAACTTTTTGGGCTTAATTTCACTAGATATTAGTGTTTAAATTCATTCTAGACTTAGTTTAAAATTTGTAAAAATTGAGAAAACCCTTTAAAAATTTTTCCCAAAAATCGGACAAGTCATTAGGGCTTTACTTTAGAGCTTTTGATTGCCTTTTCTTTTTTTAGAGACGATGCTAAGTCACTGGTTGTTTATTTTCTTTATGATTTTCTGGTTGTGCACTTTTAATACATTGATTGTTATTTTCTATTTTTAGAACGGTTAGGTGGAACCTTAAGTTTTTTCGATAGGTTGCCCGGTACGTTAGTTTGCGAGCGTTTAAATTTAGGTACCGAAAGGGCACTAGTTAGATCGCTAGTGTAATTAAGTCACCGATCTTTAGAGTCTTTGGTTTTCGCACGTATCGAGACAACACTCCCGCTAGGGTCCCGGACACTAGCATCGGGGTCCCGAGCCTAGTCTCGATGGACACATGCACAGGCATCGGTGGCTCGGGCCCGGCCTCAATAGAACCTTGCTTGGGAGTTGCGGTCCCGGACCCAGCCTTGATGGACACGGGTGCGACCATGATGGCCATGGGCCAGAGCACTGGGGACCCGGTCATTGGCATTGGGGTCACACTCCCTGCCTTAATGGACCCAGTCTTGGGCATAGGACCTCGGGCCTAGGCGCTATGTACATGACCCTGCCTCAATGGACCTGAGCTTGAGTGTTAGAAATCCGGGCACAAGCTCTAAGGCCTTGGGCCCGACCATTGTGGGCCCCAGCCGCGGCGCTAGGGAGTCAGGCAACAATACTAGAGTCCCCTGGCCACGAGCATTGGTGTCCCAAGCCCAGGGGGTTTTGAGCTCGGCCTCTTTGGACTCGACCTTGGCCTCGATGGACCCTAGCCTCTACACCCCAATCCGCTGCCAAGGGCTTAGGAACAAGCGTTGGGATTCTCGTGCCCAAACATAGACTTTTATGGTCCAAGCGCCGACACCTAGTTATATTTTAAAAAATGATTGTCGGTTTTTTAAAAGAGTAAATTATTTTCCTAAATTTAAGTATAGATTTTCCATTAACTAGGAAAATATTTTTTGTTAACTTATTTTCCTAAGCGATCCAAATGCTAGAAAATGAGAACTATTTGCCTGGAAAATGTTTTCCGAGAAATAAATATAGCCTAAGTGGGCTGAGGATAGCCGAACAAGAATCTTATATTTATAAATAAGTTACATTTGATTGAGCAGCTTTTTAAGAAAAGTTAGATACAAATAATTCCATATGACGCGCAGACATCAGAGAGTCGGGAGCGGCATGACTTCAAACAATGATAGAGAAAGACTCAGGGTCCTGAAGTCTTCGTCGGATGGGCATGAGACGGGCATCAAAGATAGTCTTTCGTGAACGCCAATCCCATTTTTTATTTACTTCGACTAATGCACTCATTTGTGAGAAAATTTCAGAAAAACCCCCTAAAGTGGGACATTTTCTTAGAATACTCCCAAAATTAGGTTTATCTCAAAATACCCCCTAAAGTTGCTGGCTTCATCTCAATTGACCCTCCATCTCACCAGCGTCATAAATCTTTGCCGGATGATGACCACACGCGTGTCATGTGCCGTGGCTTGCGCCATCAACGGGGGCATTTTTATCCCGAAAATGTCCGATTTGAGTTCGTGCACTTCACGTGTGTTCAAAGTCGACAAAAATCCCCAAATTTCTCGATTAAAGCAAACCCTGATACTCAAATTTCCCAAATAAACTAAACTCAATTCCAATACTACCTTTGTCCTTAGAGAAGGCGATTGCAATCTGTTGTAAAAACATGTTGACAAGGTGGTCGCATTTCGTGGAATGCGAGGTCGATGATAGTGATGGCATAAGAAAAAGTATCTTTTTGGGTATTGCTGAGCTTGTTTGGGAGGATTTATCTCTACATTTTATCCTTTTGTGTGAATCGATGCACGGGAATTACATTGTAATTACGACACATGACATGCATGTGATTCCCGTACGGCGAAAATTTGTGTCGCGGTCTGTGAGATAGGGTGTCAATTGAGATGAAGTCATTTAATTCAGTGGTACTTTAAGATAAATCCCAATGATGTTTTGAAAAGATATCTCATTTTAGGGATTCTTTTGAAATTTCCCCATCATTTATCTTTTAAGAAACTTATTTGATTGTGTCGATATCAATCATTGTAACTTCCAAAGGACGAGGATCTTCCACGCCTATATGAGTAGAGCCATCTCTTCCCATCATCAACGCATCTTCTGGCTTTCATAAACGCGATTCTCTAAAGTTTGTCGGTCTCTTTCATCTGTTGTTCCCGAACCAAAAATAGAAATGACAGACCTCTTCAGCCCATACAAGATGGGCAAATTCAACCTCTCACACAGGTTTTTATGGGTACTCTACATCTGATACTAGTTGCTCTTGCTCTCCGATTTCAATTGTTAACGGGCTGCGTGAGATGAAACCGAGTCATGTTTGGCGTGGCGGCGCAGGGTGGTGCTCGCGCCTCTGACGAGATGCCGAGCCTTGAATGGAGTACCGCAGCCGGCACTCGCCGAGTACTACGGACAGCGGTCGACGGAGGGAGCTCTTCTCATCAGTGAAGCCACCCCCATCGATCACGGGGGAGCTGGGTGCTTTTCATGTTTATACTTTTATTTTCTCAATTAATTTCAGATTATAGTCGGATATTTTACTACATATTTATACTCTGATGACATGACATGTGACGGTTGCTCATAATTTTCTCCTCTCTATATGGCTTGACAGTAAGTGGATCTTAGAACGTCCTTTAGTTTTCTGTGAGAAAAATTGAGACTAAATCAGATTATTTGCAAGAGCTTGGAATAGAGGCAAATAAAGATGTACAGGTTCAATGGGCGGGTTTGGTTCAAACCCAGTTTGAGTTTAAGATCTAATTAACTATCCAATAATAAATTACATGAACAAACTTCTATTTTCTGGAAGTGAAAGATCTATGCTTAACTGCATATTACTCCTTGGACTCTGTTTATAATTTTGGTTTGGTCTAAAAAATACATTGGATTTAGGTCTCCACATGTTCCTGGAATCTACACCGAAGAACAAATCGAAGCATGGAAGAAAGTGGTGGATGCTGTTCATGCCAAGGGTGGTCTAATCTTCTGTCAACTATGGCAAGCCGGTCGGGCATCCCATAAATGTAATTCCTTTGATTCTTCTCTATTCACTAAATTTCTCTGTCAATTGATCCTTTTTTCAATGTTGGCAACTTTGGAATTATCGTTATTTTGTTGCTTAGTCATAATTTATTTGTAGTTTATTAGTATATCAGCCTGGTGGGGGTGCACCAATTTCGTCAACCAGCCGGTCCATATCCGAGAACTGGAAAATACTCATGCCTGATGGAACCGAAGACAATTTCTCCAGTCCTCGAGGCTTGGATACGTGCGAAATTCCGATGGTTGTCGAGCAGTTTCGTCGGGCAGCCATCAACTCCATCCGAGCAGGTTAGACTACGAGATTTCTCGTCTTAATTTGCCCATTTTGAGTTTGATAACACGTGATATTCAAAATTTTTAACTTAGGTAATCTTCGCATTCACGTGCATTAGATAAAGATTCAAACATAAGTTACATCTAACAGAGTCAAATGGTTACAAGAAAGTGATTTGATAGGCAAATTGAAAATTACGATGAGAAAGTGACTTGATGCACTTAATTAAGACCAAAAAGAGACTTTGTCCCATAGTCAGGATTGATAATTTGACTCAATAAACATGTGGATCCTAAGGATACTATTACAAGAAATGTCCTGTCTAAAAGTTTAAGTATTTAAGTGAAGGGGGTTTTATGTATCCAAGGCACTTTATAATCACATAGTCAAATAATGTGGTATTTTACTATATTAATGTTAGGCACACCTAAAGCAGAAGTGCACTCGACAAGTTGTCACGATCACATTGATAGCTTCACAAAGCTCCCATCCGATCTGATCATAACCCTGCGCCTATTAGGCATTGCCTAGTCCATCTATAGAAGTATTTTGCGAAGTCTTGACCTATATGGATCTGACCGAATCATAATGTTCTAACATTTTATAAGTTGGTAACATGGTGTTCATTTGACATCAATGTTGGATAAACGTTAGGTTTCAATGGGATCGAGCTCCATGCGGCACATGGCTATCTCATCGATCAATTCTTGAAGGATGGAGTCAACGATAGGACAGATGAATATGGTGGTTCAATTGAAAATAGGTGCAGATTCTTGATGGAGATCATTCGAGCGGTAGTTGTAGCCATTGGTAGTGATCGAGTTGCGGTTAGAATTTCACCTGTGTCCAATTATGTCGATGCCATGGATTCTGATCCACTCAATCTAAGACTCACAGTGATCGAAAAACTCAACACATTCCAAGCTGATATGGGATTGAAACTCGCTTATCTCCATGTAACTCAACCGCGAGTCACGCCATCTCCGGAACAAATTGGTACCGAAGATGAAGAAGCCAAGTTCATGCAGACTCTAAGAAGAGCTTATCAAGGTACATTTATGTCAGCTGGCGGGTTCACTCGAGAGCTAGGGATGAAGGCCGTGACTGACGGTGATGCGGATTTGATATCGTACGGTCGAATTTTCATTTCTAATCCTGATTTAGTATATAGGTTCAAGATTGATGCACCATTAAATAAGTATGTTCGAGAGACCTTTTATACTCATGACCCTGTTGTTGGATACACGGACTATCCTTTTCTCAACCAAGAAGGTAATGACAAGGACTCTCACATGACAAAAGTGTATTCTTGAGAGAATTAGATCTGTATTACGTGTTTGAATAAGGGGAGCAAGTATTTGGTGTATTTCATGGATGCTTGAATTGGTGGAAATTGGTGAATGAAATAAGGGCATTTATTTTGTTATTTACACTTCTTTTTATATTGTATATTGTGCAAAAATGCTAGAGTGAGCATTTCAACTTCATACAAAAATGCTACATCTGGATTCATTAATTTCTTTGCAACTGTGTTTCCTCCATTTCCTTCTTCCTCCGGTTGGTCCTCAGACTAGGGGTTTATAGATTTGCATATCACCCATATGCTAGCTGAACTAAAAGTAACACGGGTGCTGTTGATATCCGTAACTCATCAATCAGAAGATCTTTGTATGACCCCTTTCGATTTTGGTCCTGTGATATGCCTTGGTACTTCAAATGGATGAACTGTGTTCTCCTCCAACCAAGTCTCTGATTGATAGGTCGTAAGTACGAACATTACCCACACGTGAATTTAACCAAAAATAAAGGTGTATGATATTCATGTTTGTAATCCATCAATAAAAAATCTGATGTCAAATGTTTCCTTTAATCAGAGGTGGAGGAAAACAAGATGAGATGTAGTTCTTTTCCTTGATGAAGTAAATAATAAATATATTTTGGGTTAGGAAACAATTTTGGATGGAAAAAGGAATAAGAGGAACTAAAACTTCATTTCTCGCTCAAGCTTATTTGAGAAAAATAAGTGGTCTAATCTACTGGCCAAGTTTTTTTTTTTTTTGGGGGTCAAAAACTGGCCAAGCTTGTTTACTAGGAACTAGAAGAGTAAAATGGCAAACATGCCTAATTCATGTTCATTATAATGTTTGGTAACTTGGAATAAGAATGAATGGAAATGGACATCGGAAATGGAAAAGGCCTCTTTACCATGTTTTCTTTGATGTGGGGAGAGGTGAGAATGAATAAGAAGGAATTAACAAAAGAAAGAAATTCAATATCAAAATCACTAGGAAGAGGGTATCCCCGTCTTTGCCGCCATAACCATATTTCTAATTATGAAGACCTTGTATTCCAATTCGAGATGTTACCATACATGATAATTCCAATTTTATTTTCCACTCATGATTGCCAATTCCTTTCAAATTCCTTTTAATTCACTTAATTTGTTTCATTCCGATTAACCAAATGGGAGCTAAAAATATTTTTAAAAAAACAATGCCATGTCATTCTCTAAGAAATTCAAACTTAAACTTTTGGAACAATTTATAGCACGAACAACATCAGATTATATTAGAGTTAGGAGGTCTTATGTCGAGTTTTTCATAGTTCTTCCTCATCAATTTCCTTCGTTTTACGTCTCACCAATCTTCACTTATGGAGCAATGTACAAAAGTTATGTCAAGTGCTTTTTAAACTCTCTAGTTATTAGATAAATCAGTTCTACGACAACAATTCCCACAAATTTTTTTTATCATCATCATGTACATTACCTTTATTCAGATAACTAATCTCTGGCCACTTGTATGTGATGATGATCCAATCTTGACCCATCACCTAGTTCCTAAGTTGTAGGAGCTGAGGCAAAAGAATTCCGAGGTTTCTCTTTTAAACATTAACAGGCTACGTTAATAGACAAAAATGCACCGACTTTTAAATCATCCAAAAGATTTTGAGCACTTCATGCTTAGAGTTTTGTGGCTAGTTTCAAATAAAAAAAAGTTTTGTGGTTAGTAGGAAATTGAGCTGTGAAAGGGGGTCCAAATCAAGCTTATAGGAATTATGATGGGCCCCAGAAAATTGGGAAATAATCTGAAATATAGGAGAAAATATTGGATTTTTGGTTAAAAGATAAAAGGGGTTTCTTTTTTAGGGGTGTCATAGGCTAAGGAACAAGCTTACTAACTAGTAATTTTGGATCCTTAACTCCATCCAAAATCGATTGTTATATAATACATTTAAGGAAAAGTATATAAGTCTAATACTTTCATAAGGAGGAGATCCAAGAGGACTCCATAAGTTGGACTCGTAAGTAACCTAGTTGAATCTATCGTCACTCAAAAACTTAAATCATTAAATTGTGGATTAACTATTATCAGTTTTTTCTTATAGACATCCGATGTAGAATTCTTTTTTTTTTTAGTCCACTCACCTGTGCACTCAGCATTCTACCACTCATCTGAGAGTCTCTAGCTTATTGGGCCAGTTCGCCCTCAATTCGAGTTAGTGTTTTTTTACGCTAACAAATCTCAACTTGAATCTCTAATCATTGCCAACAAGTGCAAATGCACCTTTCACCCATGGTCTGCTTAGATCTATGTGATTCCTTGTTGAGTTCAGTATATTGATTTGGCGTTGGGGGCCCACCAGTCAACCTTAAACTCTGATACCACTATTTAGGAAAGCACCACAAAAGTCTAATACCTTATGTTAGTAAAAATCGATATGCAAGTATGCCAAAAGAGATGTTAACAAAAATCGAAGAGCGCAAAGGTGATCCGAACTTCAGACAACTTGAGAGTGACCGAGATCATTCCACAGTTCCTCACTTGAACACAATTTGTGCGACTGGCCTTTTAGATGGAGTAATGAAACTACAAGAATCTAAATATGAGGAAATGTACATTGCATGAAATTGAGATTACATTGAAAGGAAATACTTGGAATTGAAATGACATCAAAACAAAATTATATGAAATGAAAGTACAAGAAATGAAATTTACACAAAAAAAAAAGTGAAGATTGAAAATGAACATCTCAGAAAATTGATCTATGTGGGCGTATGCCTTCGATCTTTTATACTTGCTTTTATCCTGAATGTGATAAGTTGCTAGTGAAGTTTTTCTAGTAGAGCTCCTCCACTTGTTCTTTTCAAAAAGTGCAATTTGATTCTAAAACTTGTTAAATTGGTACAATTGAGTCTCTTCGCTAACTCATCTAATTTGACTAATTGAAAATGTTGACTTAATTTTTTATTATTTTCTTAAGACACATAGCGCGGATCTGTTGTCTAGCAAGTGCCATGCTGAAAGGCTTAAAAAGTTTAAAAGATAAAAACGATGAAAGAGATGAATAAAGTAAAGAAAAAACTTGCTGTTCATCTCGTTGATTATGTTTACTGTTCATCTTCTTGGTCAAGCTTGGTTATTGCCGCTTGAGCTTGTCGAGCTTGCGCGAAGACCTTTCGAGATTCTTCGAGCTCCTGACCATGGCCGCTCAAGTTTCGTCGAGCTTACCTTCTGCTACGGAAGCCCAGGATCTAGCCACGGCGAACCCAACAGAATTAAAGCTCTTGGGGATCTAGGTCAGCCCCTTCTTGCGGAGGGTCGAGTGGGCAATGAAGCTCAAGGGCCATAGCTTCCGACTCCATCGGGGAAGACGTCATCAACAACAACGGCGCTCTGCTTCTGCGACTCAGCCCTGCTCACCATAAAGTCCCTGTCCACATCCGTGGCGGCAGAGGGGTCTCCAAGTCGTTCCTCATTCTCGAGTACATCGACGAGACGCGCAAGCAAAGCCCGCTGCTGCGCCCTCAAGATCCTTATGACAGAGCAATGGCTCGATTCTGGGCTTCGGTGGCAAAGGACGAGGTAAATTTCTTTTTCACCTTTCGGGTCCTCTGTTTCTAGATTTGTTGTTCTTTGAGGAAGAAAAAAGAAAAAAGGAAATGGGGTCTTGATTTTCTTGATAGATCAGGTGAAAAATTGTCTAGTTTGGCTGGGCAATTTTCTAGATTTGTTGTTCTCTGATGATTGAGCATTTCTCTATCTCTCCCTCCAGGAAGGAACGAAGCCCGGCAGTGTGATTTCCGACTTACTCCGTTCTATACCAGGCAAAAGTCACAAAAAATTCTAAACTATGTTCATTGTGACATATTTACTTCAAACTTTTTTACAAGACTCCAAAAATCATAAACTTGTACCTGCATGACACATTTACCTTCTGTCAAAGTTCTGTTAATGAGAACTGTTAAAAATTTGCTTACATGGATGCTATAAAGCAAATAGTGTTGAATGCCCACAATAAAAAAGCCTTCATTTCGGCTGAAAAATCATTTGATGGAATCTTGAATGAGGGTAAATGTGTTATATAGGTACAAGTTTGGGGTTTTTTTATGTCACAAGAGAAAAGTGTATGGTAAATCTGTCACAATGAGTATAGTTTAGGCTTTTTGATGTCACCAAAAAGATAAATGTGTCATAGTGGGCATGGTTTGGGATTTTTTGTGGCTTTTTTCCCTTCTATATATGACTTCACTATGTCTTAGATTGTTCTTCGTTGCACCGATTCGCCGAGGAAGCCGGATAGTAATTTTTTTTATTCTTATTTTTATCTTTTTTATCTTTTTCAAATTTTAATTTCTTTTTTCCGATGTGGCTCTTAGGTAGCGAATGATAACCATTCTGTTCCGGAATGAGTTCTTGAAACAGAAATAAATTTTTCTATTTCTGGTTCCAGGATGAGTTTCTGATAAAAGAAACCCGTTTGATAACGACCAAAAATTTCTATTTCTGGAACAGAAACCCGTTTGATAACAACACAAAATTTCTATTTCCTGAAACAAAAACCCGTTTGATAAACAACACAAAATTCTATTTCCAGAAACAAAAATCCATTTTTTTTAAAAATGGAATAAAAATAATTAGAAAATCCAAAAAATTCCTAAAAATCTCAAAAAAATTCAAAAAATCCAAAAAAATTGAAAAATTCTAGAAAAATTCATCACAATTTCCAAAAAATAAAAAAAATTCAGATTTTTCTAGAAAATAGGAAATTTGTTGAATTTTTTCAAAAAAAAAATCAAAAAATAAAAAATTTCAAAATTTCATAGAATGACTTAAAATACCTGTGGCCACCCACTTTTAGTGAAACTTAAATATTTTTAAGTGCCAAAAAAAAATCAAAAAATCAAAAATTTCAAAAATTCACAGAATAATTTATAATACATGTGGCCACCCACTTTGAGTGAAATTTTAATTTTTTAAGGTGCCTAAAAAAATTCAAAACCTCAAAAATTTCAAAACTTCACAGAATAGCTTAGAATACCTGTGGCCATCCACTTTGAGTGAAATTTTAATTTTTTGAGGTGAAAAAAAAGTAAAAAT